GTTTATGTGGTTTTCTCTTTTCATTCATTGGAACACCCTTCCATATGAGTGATGATCTTTTTAGCATATGAACATGACTTTAGGTGGAGGTTAGTGGTTCCAAATGCTTGGGTCCCCAATCTTTATTGATCATCAACACATGAACTTGCCTTCTCAAACTGTGGTTACACCTTTTTATATGGATAGGTTTAAGACTTGACCAACTGATTGACAGAGCTTATATAAATTATGACATATTTTAGCCCAACTAGGCATCCATTTATCTTCCATTTTCCACCATTTTCATAGGATCTATATGAGGCATGTAAGATAGTATTCAAGTTATGTCATTGACTCGGTTTAGGTTACATTGTGTTTTAGCACATCCCTTCCTCTCTCTAGATATAAAAGGGGTTGATGTCTAAATACCATTCATTGGTGTTATGATGTCACGTCTTTTTTTACTTCTAGATCCAAGAGATTGCTCTATGAAGTCATATTCATGACATCATATTTTCCTCTTTATGATGGTAGAAGAAGTGATTTATGCATTCATAAGCATGAATTTCATTGCACATGTGTTTCTTTCATGTTGATCTACATTTGTATACATTCCTTTTTTATCATTTTTATGACATATGAAACTTGAGTTAGAGCTTTGGGGTTCATTCTCTTAAAGCTCTTGATTATGTATTTTGTATGTACTCTTGATTTTATCTTCGTATAAGGAGTTTCGATCTACTATAAGTGTCTTTGAGGTTTGTTCCCTAAGGCACAATCTTTTCATGATATGCTTTATGCATTTCTTATGTCTGGTACTAAACACGTTAGGTTATACTTTTCTAAGCCCCTGTTTTTATTTGCACTATGAAGATCTTGGTCCCTGAGTCAATATTTCACTAACAGTACTCGAATGACTCTTAATATTACTTAAAGTGATAAAAATAAAACAATCATTATTCCTTTGCACATTTGGATGAGTAATATGAGTTATTCTATTATTACCAGATCTTGTAGGATTGTTGCAAGCATAAGCCGGAGCAAACAATCATCGCTTGTTTAAATGAGTGTTAATTCATTTAGATGCTTGGGATAAGGTAAGCTTTGTGATACTTTTAAAAACCTATAAGAACACCCTTTTCCCCACACTACACAACTGACATGTAGATGTATGTGCAAGTAACACCTTATAGTTCTTATTTAGAAATAGGGCTAGGGCGTAATTAGAGATTTTCATACACAACTATTATTCTTTGGTGTGTGTTGGTTGTTGTAGACTTTATGTGCTTTTTTGCATAAATCATTGAGTTTGTGACTTGTGTATTAGCATGCTAAGGAAGATTTTCCTTGTAGGGTACTATATTCAATAGGGATGAGCTTAATGATTTAATTTAACAATTTATTTGTAGTTATTGCGTAGCTCTCTTCCAATTAGATACAACCTTCTATAAGATGAATGAGATAGCTCATGCTAACATCTATTTTGTAGATCATGTCTCTTTTTCTTACTTTTTTCCTATGACTTTTAGATTCCCTTAAAAGAGTCAATACTGGAAATAAGGTAAGAGCCCCAGTCCAAAAGATCGGAGTAAGGACCACGTGGAGAGGAGTTAGAGTTGTTTGCTCATACCTCTATCTTTTATTTTACATTATATATTTTTTGTATGATTCTAAAATTAGGTATGTATATGCACAGCCTGACCATCATTTTATTTTTTTTGGAATACGATGTCGATTGAGTGGTAACCGGCCTATGATTTTTTTTTTTTTATTGAGTGTGTTCATTATTGCACCTTATATGTGTTCACTCTTTATTATGTTTATTATTTGTCTTGATACAATTAACATTAGGATCTTTAGAAAAAAAGCTTTTGTTATAAAATTTAATCTTAAAAGATTTATCTTAATAAAAATTCAGGATTAAAAATTTAATAATTTATTATTTGTATTCTTATTTCCTTTCTTTTCTTTTCTGCATGGCCTTTGGGCTAGTTTTAAAATGATTTGAAAATGCATGGATATATCCCCTTGCATATTAATTAGGCCTACATGATTAAGATGTCTTAGACAATTTCTTACATACTACATATCCCAAAAAAAGTACTATACTTTTCAACTTGACTAGCTCAACATACATTTTATATGATTAGGTGGTAGTCTAGTACGACATAGGGTGTTGAGGCTTTCTCGATCCATACGACATTATAAGCCCTTCATAAGGTGGTTTAGCTTTGTAGCTAAGTTATTTGTTCTTTCTTCTTTCTTGTGTAGGTTTTTTTTTCCATACCTTTGGAGTATAATCCATATTCTACCACTTTGGTATAGATAGAGTTATAAGAGCTTCAAAATTTATTTTTTCCTTTGACATTAGATTTATTGGATTGCTTCGATGTGCATTACACAGGTTGCAGACTAATTGATCCCTAGTTGGGTTAGGTCGACGAACTTCATAGTTTAGTAGATTTAGGGTCCCAATAGTCTCGGAGGAGGGTCTATGAAGCCCCTGCAAGGCTATCTCTACCTTTCAAGATTTTTCTCTGACCTACCTATTGATCTACCTCTATGAGCACAGTCATTTCCCTTATCAAGTCTTTTATAGGTGAGTACCATAAGCCCTCTCAACTCAATTATTAAAACCCACCAGGATACAATGATTCACACTTTGTTTGGTGGCCTAGTTCTGATTTAACAGTTAGATGAATTTCTCTATTGGGACCGCCAAAAATCTCCTTCGTTACCTATCTTTCAGGACTTATGCTAACATAACTCCCTTTATCATGAGTTTTTCTAAGTATTTTTCATGATGTAATTGACCACGAGGATATGTCATTCTAGGAGGTCTCTTTGAACACAGATAAAAAAAATATGATTTTTTCTAAGTATTTACTATAGGGACTCCTTATAAATTTTTATAAGTTGAGTAAGCTCTGATTTACTTTGAACTGCTATCGTTTAATTTTTGTTGCAAGAATTTCTCTATACAAATATCTTCACAGCTATTTTTTTCTTCTTAATTTTTTCCACCTTCACTCTTTTCTTTCTTCCTTTTTTTCTCTAAGCTAAGATGAACTAGAAAGGGGGGTATGAAAAGGCATGGATGTCGAGAAAGCCATTTCAGGGAAAACAAAAATGGGAATGAACGGTGGAATCCTATTGGTCTATATCATCAAGAAACACATGTTCTTACCTTGTCGGCAATAATCTAGAAGATGCATATTTATTGCATGGCTTCTATCACTTCAAAATGTAGATCTAGGCTTACAACATTCTTGGTGTCATTCCTCAAAATGAATATACCTCCTTCTAGTCATCTTATTTGTTCATTAAATTGAATCATAGGCTCATAGATTTTAATGAATTTAAGAGAAATTAGAAGGGTACCCTAAGTTAATGGTGTAAGTCTTAACAACAACCTTGTTAAACCCTTCCTATGCAAGTTGGCATTTAGGAAGGATCCCTTAACAATAGGCCTAATTTTGCCCACAGTTCAAGTAGTTCTCCATAATTTACATAAAAAAATTAGTCTCTTATGGAGGTGATTTTATTAATCGCAATTCCAGGGTTTGATGTCGAGCAAGCTCTTTCACCATTGGTCTATTTTTTTCTCATAGACTATTAGCACAAATACATCTAGGTCAACCTTGACAATCAAGTTACCATTATCTCCTCTCATTTGATTATGAAGCTTTACCTTTTCATGAAGATTATATGCAAATAACAAATATGAACCTTTCCTTATCTCCCTTGTATAGAAGAAGTCCTTAAATATTTTTCTTTTTTCTATTTTCTTTCTTTTGTAAAACCCTTAAATCGTGATTAAACATTCTTGGTGAGGAGTTATCCATAAGTATCTAACTAACTTGGGATACAATTAATCATGAGATTTGTGCCTATTTGATAAAAAATTATAGAATCAAACTAACTTATACCCCGTGCCTTACAATAGGGGGGTCAAGGAGGGGCACAAAGGAATTTAGTTTTGTCATGCCTACCTCTTTAATGTTGGCATGCTCTCTAATAATCATGAACTATATGTGTATAGATAGATTTCCTAGCGTAACATACTTGTCTCTAAGTATTTTGAATGTAAAATGTTATTCAGCGATCACAATCGAGTGATGTCGCTATCATAATATAAGAATCAGGTGATTTTGGGTGTTGGTATATGAGGGTGATGGTCGGACAACCGTGAATGTTGGTGTCAATTATCTCATAGAACTGTAAGGTTTTTCAAATATATAATGTATTCCTCATTTTAAATCCCTTTTTATTTTAAAATAAAATTTATTATACTTTTTTTAGTGAAATTTTTGTTACTCCAACCAACATTCTTAAATGCTTCTTCGAACACTTTATTTTAATTCTCTTGTCATATAAAATCATTTAAATATTTAAAAGCTTTATTGAAATTAGGATTGAGAAATTTGAGTTTGTTAGGTTTCCGTGGCTAGGATGCTCATCCTCACTATAAGCACACGAGCCAAAAACTAATTGATTACTCAGATAATCTTGTGAAGTTTTTAACATATTCAATTGCCTGGATAACAATATTTAAACTCCCATCAAGATTTTATTTATATCGCTGGATTAAAATTTTAGAATTGTGATCCAAAAAATTGACATTGAAAGTTTTTGACTATTGTACTTGCCTTAAAAATCTATTGAATAAATTATGCTTTAGTTATGCATTAATTATATATTATGATCAATACATATCTTAGTCTCATCTTAGATCAGTTGGTCGGACCGAGTGTAGGGTGTGGTACTCGAATTCTTAGGCGCATGAGAGATAGTTGGGGCTCGTAGTATAATAGTGTCTAGTTATTCTTTTAATATAGGTTATATATATACTTATTTTAAATTAGACTTTAGATATTCCGGCATGACTGTTTTATGGCGCTAAAAAATATCTCATTTCTTCTCCCATAGGCAACAAACAGTAAGGCGGTTGTTTTCTGCAGTTATCATCCAAGCCTATAAATAAACCCCAAGCTGAAACAACCACATATCGCAACAATTTCTATCGCAAGGGTCGCTTGTTAGATTTTTTTTTTAATCCTCGGTCTGGTCGGTGCTTCATTTTCGTCGACTTTCCCATTCATGGACCCGAGCAAGACTATGCTGCCTAATCTGGTTCAAACTCCCTCCTTTCCTTCCTCTTGCTCTTCACCCCTGTCTCGCTCTCCTCCTACTTCCACCGCTTCTGCCTCCTTTGATGCTTCCTCATTTTGCTCTTCCTCTGGATTGATCGAGACCCAATATCCCACCATTTCTCAATTTATTGATTGTGCCGCCCCCTCCTCCTCTTCTTCTCAATCGACGCCATTTCAAGTCACCCCTTCTTCGTCATCCCCCACACTGGAACCAAAGTTAGAATGCTTGCAGGGTGTCTCTAACAAGTCACTCAATATTCTTTCTCCTTCCGCCGAATCATTTTCGTGCGCTGGAGTAGTAGTGGACATTCCAAGGCCTCTGGAATTGCTGTTGAGATCTCCGATTACTCCGTTCCTTTCGAAGACGTACGAGATCGTTAATGACCCATCGCTGGATCGCATCGTCTCCTGGAGCCCGGCTGGTCAAAGCTTCGTGGTGTGGGATCCGATTGAGTTTTCGCGGATAGTTCTACCTCGGCATTTCAAGCACAGCAATTTCTCGAGCTTTCTTCGTCAGCTAAATACTTATGTGGGTATCATAAATAGTTTCCCCAATCTGGTTCTTCAACATTTATTTGCAGCTATTCATTTGCTTGTTTAGTAGCTCACTGTTTTGGTTTATTCATTTGTTAATGTTTTTTTTCCCCCTCCTTTTTTGAATCTAAACATTGCCAATACTTTGAAGACGCAGCTGAGGACGTCTTTACTTTTTGATGATGTATATTATTATTTCCCTTCCCTAAATCACTCTCTTATTATCCGTTTTTTGTATGATGAAATTGTATTTCCTAGCTCCTTGTATTGTTGTAAGCGGTCTGTATATGTAATTTTTTTTTTGTACTTTGATTGAGAATAGTTGTCTGTAACACAAGTGAATGAGCTATGTAACGAGAGTGAGAATGGTTGTTTTGAACACAAATAAATGAGCTATGGAACAAGTGTGTATTCATGTAATTTCTCAAATCAACGTGGACGGCGTGATTCCAGTAACTTCTACAGTGGCAGTGTCATCGTCTGTCCCGCTGTTGACTGCATGAGTAGCTCGATGATGGCATGATGCACGAAATTGATGCCGTTGATTACTCTGTGGATAATGGATACGATCTTACCGGTAAGTGGTAAAACTTATGACGATGCAACCACTTATTTGCCCATACCAGGTTCTCTTCTCTTCGCAGTTGTCTGCCCATACCCTTATCCCTGATGCTTTTTCTTACTGTACATCTTACTGGACTGTTACAGTACTGTGTTTAATTTATCTGTTCAGTGGGAGCTAATGTATAATTCATTTATCATGCTTATAAAACCTGTCCTGATAGATATATTAGATAAGTCGTTTTTGTTTGAGGTGTTTCAGTCAATTACTTTGGGACCTGATAATGGGCTTAAACATGCTATGAGATAGGATAATATCACTCTTTTTTGAACGTAGAAATATTATTCCTAAAACTGTTCTACTTCAAAAGTTTTCTTTCATTTTGTTCTGCTTACATAGAAAGTGGTAAAATCTGTTGTTGAGAATGAACAAAGCAAAATAAACTATTATTTCTGCAGGTGAAGAAATCCTAGTGTTCTTTTTACTGAGGCATGAAATTCATAATAGATCGTTGATATTAATCTTCACGCAGAAAAAGTGATAGGTAAAACTTTATTTGGAAGCGTTTCGAGTACTTTTTTAGTATCAAGATAATTACATATATAGTGGAGTCCTGATTAGTTGCATTTGAGTGGTAGGCAAAACTTTATTTGGAAGCGTTTAGAGTAGTTTTTTAGTATTTAGATAATTTATTTGTACAGTGGAATCCAGTGGATAATTTATTTATCCTGCTGGAAAAGCCCAATGTGGGGAGATTTGTTGCATTTTTTGTCTTTATATATTGTTTTCCAGACTTTTTTTTAATGAACTGTTAAAGGAGACTGAAAATGTGGCCCAACTTTCTGCAGGGAAATTCGGCCATTCACAACTTTTTCTTTAGTATATATGAAACACAATCGTTTTTATTAGAATTGATTTTTTTTTATTGAGGATATATCTTTTTCTTTTTTTTCCGTTTATTGTTATCTTCTCTTTGCAACATATAGTCAAGCTTCTTCTATCATGACCAATCATAAAATAAAAATTTAGCATTTGACGTTTTCTACCGCCATATCAGAGATGCAATCCCATGCGGCTCTGCTCTATCTTAATTCTCTCTCCCTATTTCTTAAAATTCCTCCCAAGACACCTAAGCTGAGAGACCTAACTCCTTCACCCTGACAATATCTCTTCCTTCTCTAAAACTGCTACAACCACCTTCTTCCTGATACAAACTAATTCATCTGAAAAATTAGCTCACCGCATTATACCGCATCATTATTTTTTCCATCTGTCCTAAGTTCTCATAGCAGCATTTCTCTTGGCTGCTAGCTTCATGTATGTTGTCGCCCATTGTCATGTACCTGACAAATCTCATTGATCTCCTAACTCCAACTTTACCACTCCTTAAACATTGTGTTTATGCACATCCATCCGTACTGCAGCTCACATAGCTTGTCCAGCCCCTCTGCTTGCTAACTTTTTGGCAGTTTCTTTATTGGATAGCCATAGGTCATCTCTTCCGTCAAGTCACTGCCAATCATCTTGAACAGCGATTAGTTTTCCTCTCTTTCTAGCCAAAATCATCGCTTTTCTCATTCTGTTGATTTCTTCATTTTCATCTCTTTTTGTCACTGTTATTGGATTGCTATTATTAGATTTTTTGCTCCCAGCCAAAATCATCGCTTTTCTCATTCTGTTGATTCTTTCATTTTCATCTCTTTTTGTTACTGTTATTGGATTGCTATTATTAGATTTTTTGCTCCCATAGTTGTATGCTTCATGCATTTCTAATGTAAGTTCCTTTTCAAACTTTAATAATCACACCCAGTAATCGCCTCCATTATCATTATCTGTCTCCTTGTTTGCTGCTCCTTGGTTGCCACTTTATTTTCAAACTCTAGTTGAAATACGTTATGTATCTGTGTACGTGTGTGCGCAAGAAATGCAGCATTTGATGTTTTTTTCTCACCCCACCCAATAGGCATGAATTGTTATAAAGCTTAATTGAGAACGAAGCAAAATGAACTTTTTTTTTTTCTTTTTTTTTTATATAGCTTGAGCCAAAGATAGCCAATGAAAGCAGTATGATAATGATTTTCATCTGGAAGTGATTAGTAAATATGGTTTGTATTCTTCAAATTTTAACCAAGTTTATTTTAAAAAATGATTGTTTATGCATATTAAAATGACAAAATTACATGTTAGAAGAAACTGAAAGAACAAAATATGTGAAATTATGATGGTGTAAATAGGCTTTCAGGATCTAAGAATGCACATTCTTGAAGAGTCAGGTTGAACTCTGTCGCTCCAATGAAGAAAGCATTGAGTGGGAAAAGTTATTTTAGTTTGTTATAATTATGCAACATCAAGGGATCATATTGATGTTGCTTGAAAGCCTGCCGATAGGGAGTATGTGTATTGTTTGGTTTGTTTTCATATATTTAATGGATCCTGGACAAAATATTAATAAGAGGTGGAATAGAAAGTAGAATGTTAAAAACTTGATTGCTCGAATGTATTCAGTTGTGTAATGAATCTCATTATCTAAATATCTTTTGTGTTAATAAGACTTTGCTTTTTTTTATTTTATTCTTTTGGTTATAACTAACCTTTTTTAACTTGTTGTTTGGCTTTCTTTTCTTGTACACAGCATATTACTTCTTAACCATAACTAGGTACTTTAGCTATGCCTTAATGCTACTTTTGGGATGTTTCCTCTATTTCATACCCTTGTCAGCATTTAGCTTAGTTGCGATTAACGAAACCTTCTACTGCCCTGCACAGAAGTTTCATATTATTTTGTGTGATCTATCTCGCTCTGACTCTCTTATACACACACACACACACACACACACACACATACACACATTAAGCATGATACAACTTAAACTACCTGTTGCAATCAAACACCTCACCTATTTCAATTCCTTATGATATTAGGATTAACAGATAGCTAAATGACTCTGCTTGAGCATTGAAATACTCCTTTTTAGGGATCAGGGCATCAAAGAAGAAAAGAACTAGCTCCCATTGCTTTGAGATTCTTCTCCTCCCCCTTCCTGAAGCTTGAATTTTTCAGAGTTGGCTTGCAAATGAACTAAAGTCACTATTTATCATGCTAATATCCAGTTACCTTTTTTAAAAAAAATGTAAGTTACCATTGATTATGCAATATAGTATTAGCCAAAAAAAAAACTTTTATTTTTGTGTGCTAGCTGACCTGCTTATCTCTACATGAAATTATGACCTCTTTTAAGTTGGCACTTCTCATACCTTTTCATAGCAATGATTACTTTGCTTCTTGTTTTGTAGCAGAACCCTACTGTTCATTTGGAGATATATGAATCTCTAATCAGTTTGAAAACGCAGTTTTTATGATATAGTACAGCTGCGAACCAATTAAAAGGTTGTCAAATGAGTTCATGACAGAATGCAATGCTTTGTAAAATCATTGGTCTACGCTAGGCAGAGTTGATGGCAATAGTTTATGTAGTTGTCATTGCAGATAAATATAGATTTTAGATTTTATTTTTTCTGAAATGCGTACATTTTGTTAGAAATGGTCTTTATAAAGGTCATCATACTTCCAGTTTTTACTGAAATTTTCATTGTTTTTATGACTATAACTGGTATTAATCCATCTCTGTCCTCGCTTCACCGTGCTAAGTCATGCCATTTTTACAATCTATTTAATTTGAACGGCTAAATGTACATGTTATAAACACTGCGTGATAATGATCCTTTTCTCATTTCTTGACAACGCTCGATTTTTTCAATACTGCCAGCTGTGCCGAGTCAGTATACAAACAGAACAATGTGTTCACATTTTGCGTTATTTCATTGTTCTGTATTTACATTTTGCATTATTTTATTGGGACATTTACATACATAGCACACAATACTTATGTATTTACATATCTCACACCTAAATTTTCATATTTACACACATTGCCATTCATTTGTGCGCATGTATTCAAATTGCAGTTTATTTCAAGATCTTTAGTTTTTAGTGGATTTTTATTGTTTTGCAGTGGTGCCTTTCTGCCTACTTTTCTACTGTAGAACCCTCTCCTGTCTTTTCCAATACCTGTTGTTAACTTAACAAAGACATTTTAGGGTTTCCGCAAGATTGATGGTGATCGATTGGAGTTTGCCAATGAAGAATTCTTACGTGGTAAAAGAACACTGCTGAGAAATATAAATAGACGGAGGTCACCTCGCGTCCAGCCTAAAGTTCCATTTTTAGGTTCTTCAATGGGGATGGAGCTTTTGGGAGTTGAAGATGAACTTCAGAAACTGAGAAGCGAGAAGTATATGCTGATGCAAGAGGTTTTGAAAATGAAACAGGAACACCTTGTGACCATTAAGGAGATGGATAATCTGAATCGTAGGTTGCAATCAGCAGAATTGAGACAAAAACAAATGATAGCTTTCTGGGTCAAGGTGCTCCGAAATCCTGTTTTTTTGATGCAGCTTAAACAGTCCAAAAAACTGAGAGAAATTTCTTCTGTGAGGTCGACAAAAGCATCTCTCGAGTACGAGCAGCCTAGTGAAGATTGTATGAACAAGTCGAGAACACGGCAAATTGTCAAATATAGGCAAAGCTTTTGCGAGCCGGATTCTATTTTTGCTCTTCAAGATTTGGAATCTAGTTCAGAAACACAACAAACTGATCATCTTTTGCAAGCCATGTCTGTTGAACGTGGTCCTGTTCTTATGATAAAGGATGGAAGCTCCAATAAGCCACTTGAAATGACAGAACCATCTTTTAACCAAAATGCTTCTATCAAGTGGAAAAATATAATGATTTCAGGGGAAGATGCTAGTCTTGGTTCAGCTGACTTCTATGTATCTTCACCAGAAGAAATGGCCAAGGCATCTATTTTTTCTTTAGGCAAGTGTTCTGCTCAACCGGTGCTGCAGATTGACAAAATTAATAGTAAAAGTGTAGGAGAAATTCAAGGTGATAAGGAATGCCATACCGAATACCTTGCATCAGCTGTCAATGTCGTAGAAGAAATTGGTTGCAAGGAAGAATTCTGGGATGTAGATTTTGAAGCTGGTCGTAGTTTTAATTCTGAGCATGATGTGAGGGACAATATTTTCTGCATCAATCCTGTAGTTCCAGGTGATGAAATTGGACTTTCTGAGATGTGGGATATTGGTTCACACTTTAATGATGGTTTTGATATTGACAAATGGATTGGTAGGGAATTTCTTCTCCTGCCGGATATGGATGAAGATGTTCTGAGAGACGATCATACAAAAAACTCAGGATCCTAGGTGTTCATATTTCTCATAGATCATCTGCTTTGGGGTTATATCTACGTTCATCTAATGAGTAATGATCATTACACGGATAATTTAGCGTTTATTAGCTATTCTAAGTTCTACCCAATTTATATGCTATTTTTTTATTATTAGAGTCATTTTTCATTTTGCATGAAAAAATATTGTGATTTAAGCTCGGTTTGGGATCGCTTTATTTTTTTTTCCATTTGAAAGAAGCGGTGGCGGGCTGGTGACGCTAAACTCGTCAGAAAGCTCGTCCCCGCGGCCCGCGTCCTCGACGGAATAATATCGACTTTGCCCCTCAAACCACATCTCTACCCTCGACTCTTCTACCCAAGCGTCTCGCGAAGCCGACCTCGAGCTCCATCGTCTCTTCTGCCCTACTGCCCTAGCCTCTCGCGAAGTCCCCCGCGGACCCTCTACAAGCGTTGATCTCTCCGTGGTGCTTCGCCAGCTTCCCCTAGCTGATTCGAGTGCTTCGTTTTCCCTTTTTTACCTATTTTGAGCACTTCGTTTTCCTTTTTTACATTGGTTCACCAATTGATTGTAAGCTCGATTTGTAAAGCTTTACTGTTCTCAATCAGATAGGAATTGTGCCATTGAACAGGTTGAGATACTTGAGCTGTTGTAGGTGGCCCAAGCCCGGTGGTATATTACCATTGATCCAGTTGAGGCTGAGATCAAGCCGTTTGAGGAAGGTGAGTTTGCTAATGGTTGAATCTTCATTCTTTAGAATACTATTGCTTTCCTGTTTCTTAACCGAAATTAATATTCACATTTTACTATCTTGCTCAAAATCGATATTATTGTTTTCCTCTATATTTGACGCTCAAATCTTGCTACCAAAAAAAGCCCCATAAAACCTTGCTAAAATCCTCACTCTTCTTCTCAAAATTTTCATATCATACTTACCCTTGGAAGAGATAAATGCATGCCGACGGTTCTTAAGTTCTTGCATATGTGACAGACAAATTTGCACCCTTGCTAAAACCTTCACTCCTCTTCTCAAACTCGGGATTTGACAGTTTCACTGGAGGACTTTGTGGCACGAGACATACACAGTTTGCATGCTAAAAACAATTTAATCATTTTATTAAATGTAATTTAATATTTCTTGTATTTTTTTCTTGCACTCTTGATACTCACTGTGAGTTGTGTATTTAAATTTTTGTTTTGTTTTGAAACGAATTTTTGTTTCTGAATTATCAAATATATAGTTGTCACATTTATGTTTTAAACAATTTTACTAAATAGGGGTAGAATGGTCATTTTTCTAAAAACAACTGACCCACAGCTATTTTCACAGAGCTGCAACAAATAGTCAGTCAGCTTCCCCGTAGCAGCTTTCTGGGGTAGGGAAGTTGCAGCTGCGTCAAACAGAGCCTTATAAACCTAAATCAAGATTGTGATTTATATTGCTTGTAGTTAATAATTATAGTGAATAGTTTTTATAAAGATTAAAATGATTTCACAACAATCTTTTATAATCTCGCAATTAATTTATAAAGATTAAAATGAACTAGCACTACTTATATCATAAACATTTTCTAAAAGACTTATAATGCAATATTTGTGCTTTGTTGACTTACAAAATTCATTCCCCGACCCCCTCTCGACATGATGAGAGTTCTCGCATGAGGTTTCCGATTAAATTTTTAAAAGACATGTCAGATTATAGAGAAGTCGTCACATCGAGCTTTTATCCTCATTTTGTGTGGACTTTAAGATACGGTGCTTGAGATTTCCTGAAGTAACTTTATATGGTTAATTATCCCTCCCAATAATAAGAAGTATTTTCTATTAAAACTAGCCATTAGAGAGTTGATCGCTTAGCATATATATATAAAGCTTTATATCAGAGACTCAAAAATTTTCAGCATGCTTCAGGTATGGAATTAAATAAACAAAAATGTCAAGTTTTTGCTAGCACTAATATTACTCAACATATCAAACATTGGATTACCCATTTTACTGGGTTTAGCCTTGCTTCTTTGCCAATCAAGTACCTTGGAGTACAGTTAATCAAAGGCAGGACCAAGAAAACTCAATTTAATGAAGTTATTGATCAGATCAAAGCCAACTGCACTGCTGGACAAATTCTTTCCTTTCTAATAGGGGGAGAATCACTCTTCTCAAAAGTACCTTGACTGTTATCCCTTCTTATGCCCTCCAAATGTTCACCATGAAGAAAGGTACTCAAGTTCTCATGGGAAGAATTTTTAATAAGTTCTTGTGGGTTGGATAGAAGAAACAATTCCATTGGCTACCTTGGCAAAAGCTCTGTAAGCTTCTTCATGTTGGAGGTTTGTGTTGTGAAGATTTTCAACACTTAAGATTTATAATTTTTTGCAAATTAGGGATAAACTTTAGGGCCCAAGGTAGTTTTTGGGCTCATTATATGATGGGGAAGTATTGCAGGTCTGTACACCCAAATCTTGTTATTAAAAAATTGGGTGATTCAAGAATTTGGATTAAGCTTTTGGAAATCAGAAACCACGCTGAGGAGCTTTTCATATGGGAATTAGGAGGGGCAAATTAATTTATGGTTAGACAAGTGGGTTTGGAATGGAGAAAAGCTGATGTGCTCCACCTAAAACTCCAATTATCAAGCTCATGCGAAAGAGTATTGGTCTGATGACCAATGGCATTGCAGCCTGCTGAATACCATTCTCAACAATCAACAGATTCAATTCGTGAAGAACACTTCCTTCTTTTCTGATCAAAAGGATAGACTCATTACCAAACAACCTTCATCACAGAAACTCTCAGAATTTATTTATCAAAAGTTCTACCAATCGCAACCTGTATTATGGGGGAAAGCCATTTGGGGTAAGTGGTTAACTCCTTCAATGTCTTTTTTCTGCTGGAGACTGTGGTTGTCCTTGCTTTCTACTGATGATATCTTGAAAATGAAAAGCCTGAGGGGACCCTCTTGCTGTTATCTTTGTAATGCTGAGGAAGAGATTTTAGAGCACCTATTTTTCACATGTGATTTCTCTCAAAGTATTTGGTCTGGATTGTTGACACAACTTAAAATTGATACTCTTAAAGTATGCTGGAATAAGATTTTTTGTTGCTGGAGGGACTGGCAAGAAGCTAATCTACTGGTTATTCCCTGTTTAGTTGCTTGGTTTATATGGATGAGCAGAAACCAAGCTAAGTATGAGGATCTTAAGCCATTTGTCAAGTCTGTGGTTTTCAACTGCACCTCTTATATCCAGAAAATTATTCAACACCCAACACCAGCAGTTCCCAGTTCCCCAATCTTCTTAAGAATTGGATGCCAAGTACCAAAGCTCAGCAGAACCTCAAGTCCATTTTAATTCTTTGGACCCCTCCTGCAAGTTGGGTGAAAGTTAACACTGATGGCAGCTATACCATGGAGTCATCAGGTTTTGGGGAAGTTTTTAGAAACTCCCAAGGGAAATGCATTTTGTATTTTTCTTCTCCAACTTGGGCTTATGATGCATTGGAGACTGAGATGATTGCAATCTAGTGGGCTATAAAGTTTGCTTATCACTGTCAGATCAGTCATTTGATTGTAGAATCTGACTCCATCACTTGTATCAGGATACTATAGAAAGAAGAAGCTCCCTCTTTGTATATTCTCAGGTAGTTAAACAAATTGCAGCAGGTTTTAAACAGTGGAAGGATGAAATTTAATCATATACACAGAGAAGGTAATGGTCTTGCACATTGTTTGGCTGTCATGGGGAGGAACACAGAAAAAATTTCAGTTGGAAACTCTCCTTCTTCTCATTTATCTTTTCTATTACATGGGGATAGTTTGGCCATTCCTGATCTTCATGTTATGTAGATAGGATTATATATATATATATATACTTGTGTGTTTACAGAGATATATATATACCTAATTTACCTTTTCTTTTACATTTTCCCTTTATATGTAAAAGCATAGTTCTTTTTCAATGAATTGCTACTGGGTGTTACTCTTTAAGTACACCTAGGCAGCCTTTTTCCTATATATATGTTCTTTATTAATATTGTTCTAATATCTTCAAGTGTGTTAGATATAATTTTACATAATTAAATATCCATAAAAAAGTGATGGAAACCCCCTTTGTTTAATTGGCCAGACTATTTTTCTACAAAACATAATCCTATTGCACGGCCTATTTGATGAGTGAAAAGTTGTTAATTTGTAAAATTTTCTTAATATACAAATCTTAAAAAATTTTCTTGTGTTTTAGTTTAATTTTCCAAAACTAAAATTACTTCTCAAAGCCAAAATATCAATTATTGTGTTGTTGATTAGAGAGAATATCTACTAATCGACGTTGTGTCCCAAGTCATGAAACGCAGCAAAACATTTGTAGACATAATAAATTAAAATTTCCCAATGGCTTGAAGCCCGAGAGTTAGTATGATTTCTATAATAAATTCTTAAAGGCAAAACATAGGTTTATTTAATTTTGGGCTATCATGTTTTTGCCCACTACTATCGTACTCCTAACCCTTTTTACATAATTACACTTACAAAATTGCTTTCATGGGAAAGTAATAATGTGAACCAAAGTAATAATGTGAACCATGCAAAAGTTCAAATTTTCTATTGTGAGATCAGATATGATAATGAGAATAATGTATATCATCTGAGTAGATAAAAAAACATCATTCAATAATGGTTCTAATAACAAAATAAGTAGTTTCATGGTTTACTTTGTTAAGAAAACTTTTGATTAAAATAATTGATCTTATTTTATATGCATTTCAAATTTTAGTTTTCAAGGATTAATTGCTTTGAAATTCAAAATAAAACAACTTACTCTAAAATTTAAAGCCTACATATATAAGAGTTGGATTGCTACTAAGCCTCTTAGAATTCGATAATTCCTTCCCTTCTTTAGTCTCCAAGAAGAATTAATCTGCTAATGAAACATTAATCCTATGACACAAGGTCAAAAACAGCTCAAGATGTGGGGACTTACATAATAGCAAGAGGAAATGAATTAACCCGAACATTAAAATTAAGTTGAGCACTACAAATGTGGGTAAGAAGCTCAAATCTAGTATTTTTTATATGCACATAATGGTGGACCACATGGGCCCACCAACAGTTTAAGAATCGTGGGCCAGCTGCTACATTTTAGGGGGAGAAATTATTCTCCCTTAATTATCTATTATTGTGTTTTTTTTTTTCTTTCATTGAATTTCCCTCCAATTATATGAGGGTTAGTCTGAGCTATATATATTTGTTATTTGCTTGTGTTTTAATGAGAAGATTTGAGAATTTTTCTTCAAAGAAAGTTCCTCTTAAATTTCATATGGTATCAGAGCCCTAGCTCTTCTTTAGATAAATATATCAGCAACTTCCCGATCAACAATCTCTTCTCTGGCATGAATCCTAGGAATTTCACTCTGGTGGAATCCTATATTGAGTATTTCTCACCTGCATTTTCTCTCTCCAGTTGAACTTTATCTTGGTGTAAATACTATACTTGTGACACCCTATCATTTTTTTCTCTCTCTAATGAAAATCCAATACCTACGACTGCATCTCATATGTCCAGCTCCTATATTGTATCCTCTCGCAGACGACATCTTCTTTTTGTCACTATTAAAAATTATGTGTCAATGACAAATCAATTTTTTCTTTAGTAGAATTCTTGTGTCCGTCTAAAAATGATTTCTCCCTTCTAAAATTCCTTCCTGTTGATACCTTATCCTGACCAAATATGACATGAAAAGTACTTCTTCCTCTTCAGCTGTTACTTATAAAACTAAACCTAGGATATTTGGTTTTGTGGCATCTAAAATATCTTTTTGTATCACCAAATACAAACTACATGGAAATAATTTCATCTAATTATCTTAATTTGTGTTCATGTATATCTATGGTAAAAGAAAAGATAAACATCTTATCAAGAAATATCCTGCACCAAAATTTATTGATCCTAAACATAGAACAGTAAATATTGAAGATCATAAGGTCATGTCATGGCTTGTAAACTCTTGGCCATATAAATTAGGAAAAACATCCTCTTGTACACATCAATAAAAGAAATTTTGAATGCTAAAAGGGAAATCTATTCATGGTAGAAAACTTCCCTACTTGTATAACAACAAGAAGA